TGAATAAGCAAAAAAAAAATAGAAAACATGAGTTATTGTGTCATTTATATTCGTTCTTGCGGTCACGAACAGGGTAAATACACTTGAATCTACGTTAAAATGATGTGAAAAATCACTCGAAACGAGAAACTTGCGAGCGCGCGGTGCCTGTGATTTATGAACGCGAAACGTATTTACAAAACACCCGATCAGTTATGTAAGTCAATGTAAAGGAGAGGAGGAAAAAAAAATTTGACGAACTCGAAATATCGAGTGCCGCATCGAGAAATTATTGTGCGATCTTTTGCAGCCGCGCATACGAGCGAATCGAAAGCCCCCGAATGTAATAAGTTTGCTCGATCGACATCATCCCATGCGAGCCCCTTACTTTCTTCGGCGCGAAAGATTCTAAGAAAAAGATTCATCCCTCGGTTTTCCTACAATCATCGTGATCGCCATCTGTTTTGTGTGTATATTTTGTGGATTCGGATGGGGTACTACTCTGCGCGTATACAGCGAAAAATTCGGCACACGCGGTCACCTGGTGACTGACAGACGACGCAAAGACAAAGGGAATCCCCGAGGACACAAAAGAGAAAAATCGACGCGTATTATAGCGTTCGCTTTCGAAGCTGTGTGTGCCGAAGCGCTTGACAGGTAGGATATACTGCGTCGTCGTTTCCACGCACGCACGAGGTGTCGAAGGAAGGTTTGGACCGGCAAAACATTCTACTTAGAAAGTCTTTATATTATCGTTCAATAATTAGACTCTATTCCTTAATATACTTTTCGCACTTTGCATTGAAAATAAAAAAATAATAGAATGAATCATATTCAGGGTTTTCACACCTGACATGCAAGCGGTATGTATACCGAGAAATAGCATGACTGTATTATTATTGATGTTATTATTCATTCGCACCTCTCTGAAGTGCATTCGGACTTTCGTTAAAAAAAAATCGTTTCTGGGCTGCCGATGTATCAACAACGGCTGCGAAAATATATACGCGAGCGTCGACATCTCGTGCGGGAGCTACATGGTCGAGGTCACTCTCTCTCTCTCTCTCTCTCTTGGGCGCGCGCGAGCAAATATTATACACACACACACTCGTCCTTTCGTCTCGGTAAATCTCTTTCTCTTTCCGTTTTAAGCTCGAGCGGCGGCGGTGGCTGAATTCCTGGAAAAGCCTAGGCCCCGATAAATAGAGCTTGACCATATTGTCCATTGAGCACACCAGTATTATATTTACAGTGCGAATTGTTTGGAGATGGGCTCGAGCTTGTTATATAAAGGCCTCGATAATGTGCAGCGCAGCAGCGCCATGTGTCGTCCTCTTCTTTTCTTTTTACAGCGTCCGATCCCGTGTGCAGGTTTTAGAAAACTCTTCTTGTATGTTATATAGTTATAACCAATGGTGCTGATAGATATCGACACCCGAGATATAATTGTGCCGAGATACGTGTGTGTGTGTGTCTCGGATCGCTATTGTTGTCCCGCGCGCCGATGATTTTGTCAAAAGCTATTAGGACCGTTACAATGCGTGTGCGTATTACACATATATAGTCGCCACGCGGACCCGTGCAAAATCGAACAAATACTCGAGCAAATATTATCTCGACGCGTCCCCGCCGCGCGTAATCGCAGTCCAAATTAATGCGTAACGGTGTAAAGTTACGTTGTGCAGCAGTATGACGACTTATCGCTCATAACTCTGAAATTCTTCAATGAATCCCTCCCCGCGCAGCCGCGAGTTGAGCAGCTTGAGAGGTGAGTTAACTTTTTTTATATGTATTAATACTGATACCGATAAGCTCGACGTTTTATCTGTATATCAATCCGACACACTATATACGAAGCTCCGTGTGCCAGCCTAATGTTTTTAAGAATAGCGCAAAACTCGCTCGTGCGTGTAATGGTGGGTGTACATAACTCTCTTTACTTATTATTATACGTATAATAATTTTTTTCCACCGTAAGAAATGCGACACACACACACTGCTGTCATATCGTGCGAAGAGATCGGGATCGGCGCCACCGAAATCATTGAGCATAATTTGACCGTGACTAATATGGCGTAGCGCGCGCGCGCGCGCGAACTAATTTTATATATTACATACATTGAAAATTTAGATCGCACGAGGAATTCGCGATCCTCATCGTCGATAATTGCTCCGAAAAAAGCTTGAGCTGCTCTCGTTACACACGCGCACGCCCGGCCCAAAACGACGACAAATGCAGATAAGCATCAACCCTTGGAGCGTTCCACATTCATAACAGTATTATGTGCTCGACTGCTGCTGTTGCTTTACTTCTGGCATATCACGCACATGCATACATGTAGCACACGTTTTCTCGGACAGGAGCAGTATGAGCAACGCGTGCATCTGCAGTTTCATATTATAGCCGCCGCAGATCGAGATGAGGTCATTACCCTATCTTACTCTCTCTCTCTCTCTTACTCTGCATTGGCGTGTATACAATTATATACCGAGTGTATTAATGTTATGATATGCATGCGCTCCGCGAGTCGAGGATCTCGCATAGGGCGGCTCGTCGAGTGGTGGACTGCTGGAGTTAATGAGACTCGCGCAGGTTTCTGACGCATGGAGAGTAGTTAAGCAGCGAGCAAAAAGAAACAACGACAAAAAACTAACCGTATAACCGCTCAATCGCGCTGAACAGCTAGTTCGATTTTTGGTGTGTAGCGTATTACGACTACCGATTTCGCCAACGATGATCATCCATTGCTTTCAACTATACTATCTCATGATTTGGCGCGCGAGCACGGAGGCATTTTCTCTTTGACTTCTTAATGCATTTCGTGCCACTTGAGTGAATCGTGTTCAAATATTTAAACTCTGCGAGCTTAGACGAAATTAAAAATTGAAATGAAATGAAAAAAAGCAAGTAATAATAATAATAATAATAATAATAATAATAATAATAACATTAACGTCGAGATACGGAGAACACACAGCTGGTATTCGTTCGCGCTCGATTCCATATCAGTAAAAGTAAATTTTACACCGACCACGTACTGTAACACACATTATTATATAGACGAGTGATCGGTGATTATTTGCTGTCGCTGCTTAGCTGCTGCTGCCGCAGCCGCTTGGACTGCACATATAGGCGCTATCGTAGGCAAAACTTGTTTTTCTCTATTATAACACGCGCGCATACTCCGCCTCTTTCTTTCTTACTCTCTATGACAATAGAAAACACATGACGAAGACAACGACGATCGAACGATGATCATCGACCCCTTTGTGGAACACACCGTGTGCGCGGCGTGATCCGCTGCACACGCTGCACCTTCTTCGTTCTGCTTCTCTACCTATATCCTTCCATTCACGCTTATATACCTACTACACACTTATTTATAAATTACATATGCACGCGCTTGCAGTTACGTAAAACACCTTTCTAATGATGTTGCTGCTTCTGAATTGCCGCCGACACTGCTGCACGGATGCGGTTGTATTTAGTCCGTGTTCGGGCTTCTCGAACAGATTGACTTTTTTTCCCTCTCGCCATCTCTCTCTCTTATACTCTCGGCATGCCGCGGCGGCGGTACATGGCTCTTTTATTAGAGGCCCTATACGCGTGTGTATTATATACACTGTCTTCCGGAATCACCGGCTCCGAGAGCGAATGTGTTCATGGTTTTTTATCCACACTCGCGCGCGCTCATTCGTATTACTGCTTCTGATGCTGCTGCTGCCGACGCCTTGTTTTTGGTCGGACAATTGAATCACACACGAAAATGACTTCACCGACGAGTTCGATTTTCGCAGCGTAATCCGAATCGATTGTCTAGTTTTTTTCCTTTTCTTTTCTGATCAATCGAACTTTATATGCGCCGATTGCGCAAAAAAAAAAATAAATTATGGCCGCGCAGCACTTGGAAGACTCAAAATCAAGTGTACTTCGCGACACTGCGAGATTGCCGCGCTGACCTGCTTATTTTTTGCGCTGGCGCACCACTCGAAATTAAAAAAAAATGCTCGGATTAAATTTTTTTACTCGTTACGTGCAATACTCGAATCGATGATTTCAGCTCTCTTGCGTTCGATTTCGATTATTACACAGCCATATAAAGAGTAACCATCGAAGAAGTATAACAATTATATTTACAGTCTAACGTTGTGCAACTCGAAAACGACATTTAAATATAAAATGCGTGTGCAAATAAAACCCCAAGGGCTTGTTGGAAATCCAATGAAATTTCAAGAAAATCGATACGCTAACGATTTCCTCTGAACAGGAAAACGAAAATAGCCGGCCGCGCGGCGCGTCTCGTACATGGGCGGGTCTCTCTCTCTCTCTCTCTCTCTCTCTCTCTCTCTTTCGCTCTTTCTCTATTAACCGTGGTGTTTGCTCATACCGATATTCGACAATGGAAAAAGGAAAAAAATACTTATACACTCGGTAAATATACCAATATTGGACAAAAGAGTCTCCTACGCGAGTTATAGGATGTGTGTGTGCATTAAAGGAATTAAGCACCTATACATACGTATACGCGTATAATGATCGATCTCCTACATTATACATAGGTGCAAGCCTCTCCTATTTCGTCTTCGCGTCTTACATGTTATAGTTTTGTATTTATTTTGAAAAGAAGATGAGAAAAAAAACCAACTCGTACACGAATTCGTGGAAATTTCGCGTTTGTACCTGCTATTGTGGAAACGGAGCACTATTGTCAATAATAAAACGATAGCGCGGCAAAATTTTATCTCTTTAACATATAACTATGGCGCCTCTTATCGCACTGGATCGCACTCCGAAAACTATCGCGATAAAACTGTCTCCGATTTTTGTAAAGATACGACATTTGAAAAATACGAAATAATTTTTTTTCAAAAAATTGCAATCGAACGCAACGACGATTCGACGAGGGGTTCGATTTTCATGCGAGAAAGTCGCGATGCTCCGATCAACGGTCATCGGTACAATTATTTCGGAGCATTTGAAATCTCGAACGAGTCGCGAGAGATATCGTTAGATGCATTACCTTGGATGAAGCAGAGCACGAGCAGTCCGAGGGCCGCGATCATCAGCTTCCTATCGATCTTCATGGCGACACGATGTTAATTTCAGTTAATCAAAAAACCCACTAAAAAAGCACACTGAAAAATCTTGCACTTTTCTTCCTTTTGCTTAAATTGCACTGCAATGAGAAATATTTCCAGGCACTTAAAATCAGTAGCACTTCCGAAATCCGGGCAAAGCACCAAATTGCATTCGAGGAAGAACTGTCGCCGCGAAATCGTTGGATATGTATATCTCTATATACCCTTAGAAACGCGAGGCGAAGGTACCAGTGGCGCACGCCAAACCGAACTGAAGAAACTCGTCCGAGCCAAAGTCGTACTAGGCGCGCGGCGAATCCCACCGCTGCTTGCTGCTGCTGCTGCGTTTCTCACCGCCACTCGAGAGCGCGCGGCGCGACGCGGTTATAGCACACACACAGTACAGTACAGTACACAGCACAGCACAGCACAAGCCGGCTCGTCGACGCGCAAAACTATAAGGACCGGCAGTGTGTGCTGGTGTAGTAGAGGAGAAGGGACGTGAGATGGCACTCGCGAAATGCAGAAAGCCAATGTTATATATATATGAGATATAAAAAAGAACGAGAGGACGAGTGCGGATGATGATGATGATCGCACATTTTGACTCTGAACAGTGCCTGCTGTAGTGCACTATGTTGCATCTCACTGGATGTTGTGCGGCAGTTGTTTCAAATACGTGTGCGAGCGAGGGAAGAATGCGATGTATGGGGTTCGAATTTTCAAAATCGAAACTTTCGATATCGAGCCTAGCGAAACTGCATACTTCTATTGTAGCGGCCGTGAATGTCTTAAAATACACGGAATCACTTTAACTTGTACACTGTGTAAGTAATTGCATTGTTTTGCCAAGAATCAATGTTTGAGATAATTCGAAATCGAGTAGATGACAGTTGATGTTAGATCATGCATTGAGCAATCATGAGAGGACGGATGCGTCCGACAGTTTTGACAGTTCGGAATTAAGACACTTTTTAAGGAAACAAGATCTCTTAAGCTCGGAAATTTTTAATATGGATTTTCATGTGATGTTATTAACATAATAGACAGAAAGATTTCAATGAAAATTTAATCACTAAAAAAAAATAATGAATATTTTTATCAAAGAAAATATTTTTGAAATGAGACATACTGAAAGAATTAGAATAAATATATCACTTAGTTGAAATAGTATCATATATTTTCCTATAAAGAATTGATGGGAACCTTTTAATATTGTGAATAATATGACAACTATTTGATTCTACAGTAGTGCTGTAAATTAATCCTCAATTTATGCAAACAATTTTGAACGTTTTTTTTCTTCGGAATTCGTTAATGAGGTACGTCGAGTGTATCTTTTTTCTAATCAGTGATTTTTTAAACAAATTTATTTCAATTTGATAAATTATAATAAAAAAAGGAAAATATTTTACATCAAGAATTATTAGATAATCAAAAATGTACGAAAATTTTTTGAATTAATAATAATGTTAAAGTTAATAATTTTGATAGTTGATTATAAATTTGTTAACTGCTTTGTGAGAAAATTCGTGTATACACTCAATCCATGGATATTACCACTTATCATGGGACAAAAAGTTGGACGAAATATAAAAGAAATGTTGACCGTAAGATGGCAGACAAGTACTAGGAGTAGCGGCTGCACTAAACGTTTCATTTGCCTTCTGCCCGATCCAGAATAGAAGCGTGTTTATGCCGGGTTAACCCAGTACATTGTCACAACACTGAATTACAAATGCCGTGAAATTGTGAACATGTTATGAAAATCAGTGATAATTTCACAAAAAACACGATTTGTTTAACGTTTGCTGTATAAAAACAGGAAAATGGCATCTGCAATGGGTGGAAGAAGTTTGCTTCAACCGAAGGTGCTTCAGTGTAAAGATTTACATGAGTACCTGAAAACAAGAACACCTGAAATGCTCAGTAAACTCTACGACAATCCTCCAATTTGTTTAGCAGTATACAGAGAATTACCAGAATTAGCCCGTAATTATGTTGTTAGATTATTATTTGTTGAACAGCCAGTGCCTCAAGCTGTCGTTGCTTCTTGGTGTTCAAAATTACATGTAGAAGATCACATGAAAGTTGTGACTGTGATGAGTGATTTGAGCATTTGGAAAGAAGTCGCAATTCCTGGAGGACTTCCTGGATGGGTGTTAAATTCTACATTTAGGAAAAATTTAAAAATCGTTTTGCTTGGCGGTGGACAACCATGGACCATGTCTAATCAGCTCGATGCTGATAGTAAACCAAGAGATATTGCTTATTTGGATAGCTATGCGCTGGAAAGATGGGAGTGCGTTCTACATTATATGGTTGGCTCACAACAACAAGAGGGTAAAGTATTACAATGTCTTATTTTACAAATTTATTTTTCATACTCTATAGATTATGCAAATAATTAAAAACAAGTTATTTGGTATTTTAGGTATATCAATAGATGCCGTAAGAGTCTTATTACAAGCTGGTTTAATGGTCAGAGATGAGGACGAAAATGTTCCAACCATAACACAAGCTGGTTTTCAGTTTTTATTACTTGATACCGCAGCACAAGTAAATAATATTATTTGTATGCTTTCAATCATTTACAAATAATCTATATTTTTAATGATTATTAATGGATTATTAGGTTTGGTACTTCATTCTACAATACTTGGATACAGTTGAGGCCAAAGGGCTTGATTTAGTAGAATGTTTGAGCTTTCTATTTCAATTAAATTTTTCCACTTTGGGTAAGGATTACAGTACTGAAGGCATGTCTGATGGACTGCTAACATTTCTTCAACATTTAAGAGAGTTTGGACTAGTTTATCAAAGAAAACGCAAAGCTGGAAGGTTTGTTTATCAATAAAAACAGCAATCTTTTTGTTTTTTTCATTATTTCAAGCATCATTTGTAATTTTCAGATTTTATCCAACAAGATTAGCATTAAATATTGCCACTGGCCAAAATAAACCATTAGCACATGATTTAGAAAAAGATAGATATATCATAGTTGAAACTAATTACAGAATAAATGCTTATACTGACTCAAATTTGCAAGTGGCTCTAATAGGATTATTTACCTCTTTAGTATATAGGTATAAAGAAATAATTTTGATTTAAAAATGATACAAGTCTTGAAATGCAGGTAGTAATTTCCGCGCAAAACTATTTGCAGATTTCCAAATTTAGTAGTAGGTGTATTGACAAGAGATTCTGTGAGACAAGCTTTTAAAATTGGCATAACTGCTGAACAAATCATTGGTTACCTGAAGCAACATGCTCATCCTAACATGATTGCGGGTGGACCTCCTATTTTACCACCAACAATAGTGGATCAAATAAAATTATGGGAAAATGAAAGAAATAGATTTTCATTCACGGATGGAGTTTTGTACAATTCTTTTCTTTCTCAAACAGACTTTGAAGTTCTCAGAGATTATGCTCAATCTGTGTCAGCATTAACATGGCATAGTGATAAGTACGAATTTTTAAATTAAGTTGAATACTTATTTATGAAGTTCTTGTAATTAATTTGTAATAAATTTTGTTTGCAGAAAAAGAGCTATGGTTATAACCCGGGAAGGTCACGATGATGTTAAAAAGTATTGGAAAAGATATTCCAAAAATGCAAATTAAAAAAAAAAGTATTTTGTTAAAAATAAATATGTTATTTTTTAATAACGTTTATTTATTTATTTTTCATTATAAAATTGTCAATATCCTATCATAATTTTTAAAAAATTCCACACTTTTTATACACTTTTGTGTTCGTCATTGAAACAAGTTCTGAATGTTCATTTTGACAACTTAATCTTCAATTCGTAAGTGTCATCTATATAATAACACCATTTCATTAAATTCATGTTACTAAATCCCTGGGCCAATTAACTTACTGAATACTCAAATATATCAAAGATCCTAGCACTACAATAAATTAGGTGGGTGTTGATTCAAATTTTCATCATCTAAATTTGGCTAACGCTGAGGAGCTGGTTTTGGTTTTGGCATTTTGTTTAAGAGAGCTTGGATGTCTTTCTTTTCATCATAGGTTTTCCATAACTCATACAAATTAATTATATATCTAGCTATTTCTTGAATTTTTTCCATGTCAGCATTTAATTCAGCAAACCAAGATTTCATATCTTTTTGCATTATCACACAAGCTATTTGTAGAGCACCTACAATGAGTATGAAAAATTCATAAATTAGCTAATAGATAAATTAATTACCATAATCTAGCATTTGTTAGACATACCTATTGCAATTTGATATGGTGCATATAGCAAACATACATCAGTTCGAAGGCTATCATTCACTATCCTCCACGCTAAAGTAAGCAATTGATCGTCAGGTCCAATATCTTGAATCAATGTGAGTAGAGGCCGATAAGGCTGATACACAATCAAACAACAGTCTAAATGTTCTAAAAGATAAAATTCACATTCTAAGATATGATTCGTTCTGTATGGGAACTCCTGTGTGTAAGCATAACTGAATTTGTTTTTAACTGAAAAAAAACAAGTTGTTTATATAACAGTGGCATAAATAAAAATCTAAACAATAAATAAAAAAAACTTACTTGCTGTTTGACAAGTTGTTATCAACCTAGTATTTGAAATAACACCAAATTCTTCTACCTTAGATGCTAAAAAGATAGAAGTTGGAGCAAGTAATAGAGGATCAATGCACTTGAGACTATTTCTAGCATAAAATCTTTTGAAATACACTGTAGCTGTTGCTATAACCTGTTGCCTAAGTTTCAGTTGTTCTCCCAAAACTTGAATTACTACAAACAAATTGAAAATTCATTAATAATTAAACAAACGTAGAATAAAAAAATTAATTCTTAAAACTTACAATTGGCAAAGAAAATTAAAATCTTTTGATATTCTTCTTCAGTGAGAATTGACAGATCATGCTGCCTTTCTCTCACAAGATCTTGCTTATCAAGTAACCATTGTTGACTGCAGAATACAATGCAAGCATTAGACATATTCACAAAACCATTCTGATAACTTGAATATAAAAAACTTACTGGTGAGAACTGTGCCAAAAATTGCCAGCCATGCTAATTTGTTATTATTGTCCAGTAGTAGAAGTACAGTTAGGCTTTTCAACGCAATTGCTACGACAAATCAAGGAATCACTCAATTCATCGTCACGTTATTCTTATTTTGTATTTTTCAATTTAAAAAATCGTATTAAAAGTTGATTTTAATAATACCAAGCAAAACTATATGAACGACAAAAATTGACAACTCCGAAATCGACTCAAAAAGAATAAACGCGATGAAACGTAAACTGACTACTGCTAGCAGCAGCGTTGCTTTTCTCAATCGAGTGACTCGAACCGCTATTCGAATCTACCTTATCGGTACGTCTGCTCGCGTGTGAAAATTTGCCGGCACATTAGCCTACCCACGCTAGGGGTTCGAATCATAACATCAGTTCAGTTTATTTACTGTAGCGTGTGGGCTAGAATCATATTAATTGCTCATTTTTAACCTCTGACCATTTAAAACACTATACCTTGATAACCGGTAATTTGAATCGAAGTTGATAGTGAATTGAAATAACTCATTTGTAGTATTCATTAGCAAAATGCTAAATTATTCTAAATCAATGCTTCACTACAATGTTGTGCTATGCCAAGCTTTTTCACCAGATGGAAATTATTTGGTAGCTGGAAATATATATGGTGATATATCTGTGTTTGAGTAAGTAACTTAATCAGTTAACGATGTTTTTTAATCAATTTTTGTAGAAACAATAATAAATAATATTTTTACTTGTTGAACAGTATATCCATGGTTCTTGGACCACGACAGGATGATAGTAATGAATTGTTAAAGCCTATGCATCAGTTCAAGGCTTACCAGGACCAACAAGTCCAAAGTATGGTAACAACTGAAAATTTCTTAATCACTGGAACATGCGGAGAAATTACTGGCTGGGATTGGAAAGTTGTTATTTCTAAATCGCAAAAAGTTAAACCTTCTTGGACTAAACAAATTCCATCCAAAAAGTAAACATTATCTTGAGACTGATTTATAATTGAATTTATGTTAAATATTAAAGATTTACTTAATAATTTTCAGAGACAGTTTAGAAAAATTAGATGTCAATTCTATGGTTTATGCAAAAGAAAATCAGATGGTTTACATAGGTTGTGGAGATAATAAAATTCACACTATCAATATCAGCGAGGGAAAAATATTAAATAGCTTCAGTGGTCATACAGATTTTATTCACAGTATTGCTCTACAGTATGAATGATTTGTAAATTTTTCCTCTGCTAAATATATTATTCAATCGTCTTGTAAAAATAACTTATCATTATTTTAGTGGAAAGCAATTGGCATCTGGTAGTGAAGATGGAACTGTGCGTTTATGGGATCTACGAAATAAGGAGAATACAAATATTTTAAAACCATACTTAGATAATAAAGTTTCTAGGCCCAAAATTGGAAAATGGATTGGAGCTGTTGATTTCAACGATGACTGGCTGGTAATATCAAGTTTTAATAAGTGGAGTTTTCTTTTGTGACCTTTACATAATTAACTTCGAATTTTTTCAGCTTTGTGGAGGAGGGCCAAAATTGTCATTATGGCATCTCCGAACCATGGAACCAGCTACTATTTTTGATCTTTCTGATGATGGTGTGCATGTGGCAAATACTTATGAAGATAGGGTTATTGTTGGTGGAACAATGCCTTACTTATATCATCTGTCATACCAAGGTGTTACATTAGCTAAAATTCCAGTTTCTAGTAATACTATTTACAGTGTAGTCTATCAAGAGCAACCTCATCAATTTTTATCCATTGGAGGCTCAAGCAATACATTGGATATTTGTACTAACTTTAATTATCGTGAATTAGTTTTAAATTTTGCATAAAAACTCTACATTTAGAGTAATAATATAAAAATAATGATTATTAATACGGTTGATCCAAAATATGACTGCTATTAGCTATAATATTATCTGTAAGTAATTTTCATAAAAATATAATTTTCACAAACTGAATTATTGCAATAACAATTATTATTATTATTATTATTATTATTATTATTATTATAACTATTATTACCTTATAAATGAGATTCTATTTGACTTTTTAATGAATCCATACCAGGTTTTATAACCTTTGCATGCAAAGGATCATTTTCATCAAATGTTACTCCAAATAATTCAGGATGATACAGAAAAACTATTCCAGTAATTAGAAGGGCAAGGATCAGAAGTGCAATAACAACTAACTTGCAACAGCAAATTGTGAACATTTTGAGTAGCACTCTTAATTATAGATTAATGTATGTATATTGATATCTCTGTTTGAATTTGATAGTTAATTAACATCAATTGTTTTTTGAGAAATTTTTTGTTTTTCTTTCATGTGTATATTAGTTCAAAACAAAAAAATTTTATTTTATATAGGTCATTCTTCATTATATAATAGATCTTTTGCTTTTATGGAATGAAGCCATCTTTAAAAATTATAAATTTTTTTCATTGAAGTGCTGAATATAGAATATGATGCATTATCTATAAGTAACACAATTTAAATGAAAGGTGTTAATATGATATAAATTTTGATAGGTACTAGCCGTTTAGGCAATGGGTTCATTCTTTTAGATCAGTCATATTGTTTGATAAATAAATGAACAAACTTTAATTTTTTTTAAATTGTCAAGTATATTGTATTATGCATACTTATTACTGAAAAGCAATATACATCAAATTCACACATTTAACAGTTAATCTCTATTTATAGCACAATTTGAACTTCAACCAAGTTCATTAAGTGAAATCTCAAGAAACGATTTAAAATTCAACTCTAAAAGTAAACTTCAGTATGAAGCATTACAATTTTTGACTTGCTTCCAGTTTTTTTATTTCTTTTTGGATTTCTGACTTCCGCGATACTTTATCAAGCATTTCCTTATCGGGATTCTTGATTTCTCCATTTTTGATTTTCTTTGCTAATGACTCAATTTCTCTTATCTTTTTTCTCAAATTTTTCAGTCTCTTTACAGGATCAACAGCGGTGGCTTTATCTTCAGTTTGTTCAGGAACTGGTGTTTTAGGTACTTCAACCTTTGTTTTAGTTTTTTCGTCAACTTTTGGTTTAGTTTTTTCTTCAACTTTTGGTTTAGTTTTTTCATCAACTTTTGTTTTAGTTTTTTCGTCAACCTTTTTTTCTTGAACTCTAGCTACAAGAGGTTGAGCAGTTATTGATATTTCTACAAAATCTTCTGTGACTTCAGTTACTCCCTTGTTCTTCTTCTTCTTTTTCTTTTTTTTTACTTCAGGTGTAATAACTAAACCAGGAATTGGATTTGTTTTAGATATTTCTGCCTCTCTTTTGGCTTTATGCTGAGCTACGTATTCAGCAGACATTCCAACTGGATATGTTGCTTTATTTTTTGTAAATTGTTTTCCTTTACTTTCATACCTTTAAAAAAGAAATATAAATTATTTTGAGTGAGTTATGTGATAAGTTAGAGTAAAATAGTTTATTCTTTGTATACTTACAAGGGTACCTCTTCTTGTGGTACGTATCCATCTTTTACTCGCCTAGGCTTTCTCCAAGTTCCATCAGGCCGTTGACTGGCTGGTATGAAAGTACCTTTGAAAAAAAAGATTAATAATAAAGAATTTAAAAAAAATTATTTTTCATGATTTAAATTTTTTAACAATATATTAAAACACAATTAATGTTACAGATTAATACCAATATATTCAAAAGGACGAGAAGAAAGAAAATGTTCAATTATAGAAAAATTAAAAAAAAGTAAAAATAATGATCCCCCAAAATTTAAATGGCTCATTCATTTTTCATTAAATTCCGACTTGTTTACGAAAAACGAATGCGTTGTTTACGTTTGAACCTTTTGAGGTTATCAAGTAACACATCAAGAGCACATGAATTTATTTTTAAAATCATCAACAGTCGCTGGGACGATCGTTACCTTGCTCATCTTTGACGTACGACGAGGGTGAAGACATATTTGTTTTTTTAAAAATCGACGATTTTTATTCACGGTCTCTCTTCCGAATAAATTTGCCCAAATCGATTTAAGGCAACGACGAAGGCTAGAGAAGTGTCATCACAGCGCAGAGACTCTCTCGATTTGACTGGGTAAAAAAAAATTTAGTTCTGCTGGCTCTGGCTGTGTAGCTGCTTATACTACTATACGCTCTCTTTCTCGCTTGTATTGCTCCGTTTTTCACGCGACAGAAAAGGAGCCCAGTTGATGTGCCACGGCTGGGGGTGCACGCGCAGCAGCAGCACATGCAAGCACCACAGCTGCGCGCCTCCAACTTTACGCATCTATCGCTAATCTGGATAGATGGCGCTCGAAGCTGCGTATGGCAGTGCGCGGCGCTTTGGACAATTCGTATGATATTGATAATTCTTATCGTTTTACCGCTTGCAAAGGACCGATATCGTGCGAGTCATTTGAAGTTGAAGCATGGACCAAAATCAAGCATTAAAATTTTATAAATAGAATTTTTATTGATAAATATTAAACACGCAATTTTAAATCTACTCTTGCGTCGCAGTTTATCAGCGGGCTCTGTAAATCATCAGTTTTTGTTCTTTCAATTGTTTTCGAATTGTTAAAAACTTTCATCAGAAATAATAGTAAGCTTCATTCGAATTCGACGGGCGCGTCAAGCACGTGAGATCAGCTGTAGCACGAGCTGTCAAGTAAAAGTCTGTTTACCATCATAATTAAGACGTTTACGAGGTGCCACACGTAATCTTCGCATAATGATGTTTACTCGAGAGATTCGTCCACGTGCAAGTCGCAACTGTACTCTCACGGGCACGGTCTCACACACACACACACACACACACACAACACTCATTAGAGCATCAATAATTGTTTATTTTCATTCGTAATTTGGAACGTGCGCGCGCACACATTTAATACCGTAGATTCTGCAGCGTAAACACATGTACACATGACATCTGTCAGAGTGTGCGAGCGCGTGTATGTGTTTACGTGTGTTAAAGATACCAGACACAAACACGACGACACAAATCACAAAAGGCAATGTCGCAAGCATTATAATTTCTAGATATACCGTCCACTGGCTGAAGTGTGCGATATAGGCCTAGCAGTCGGTCGATGGTTGTTGTCTGTTATCGCCGCTGTCAAGTGATATTAGGAAATAAAATTCGCAAATTTTGCTGAAGCAACGGATAGATGTTTCTTTTATCATCTATTACATATTGCGTTCAGTTAGCCTTATGATACCGGTAGTTTAATACCGAAATTTTCTACTCATCCGCAAAACTGCGAATTACAACTTTTTGTGTTATTATCAATAGATTGAAAATAGAAAATTTAATAAACATGGCTAATAATGATGCATCGAACGATAAACCAAGCGTGATTGTGTTGGGAGGTAAGTTTTTAATTTTCTTTTTTCAAGTCATGAATTTGTTTTTTTCCACGCGATTAGAAGAAGGTTTTTTTGTTTATTAACATTCACTTATATTCACAATTACATTAGTGAATTGCGTTAAATAAAACTGACACAGTGTAAGCTAACATACGTTCATTCTAAAGAACGTCGGTTTATGTTTGTTATATACTTCAACTATTTGAAAATATAATGCCTTTCGATGTTTTGTTCATAGGAAATTATAATCAATGAATACTGACATTTTTTTGAATATTTTGAAATTATGACTAAAATTATTCTGATTTCTTCTAGGGTGCGGATTCATAGGACGTAATTTGGTTGAGTATTTAATTGAAAATGAACTTGTTTCATATCTGAGAGTGGTCGATAAAGTTCCACCTCAAATGGCATGGCTTAATAAGAAACATCAAACTATATTTGATCATCCTCTCATTGAATTTTGTAGTGCTAATTTAATTAATCCAGGTTAGCATATATTTTTATTTTATAAAAAATATTTTAACAATAGTCTTTGAACAATCTAAAAAAATATTTTTAGTTTCTTGTCAAAATGCATTTACTGCTGATCATCCCATCAACTATGTTATTAATTGTGCTGGTGAAACTAAAACTGGACAAACTGATCCAGTTTATAGAGAAGGAATTTACAAATTAAGCATTAACTGTGCTCAGCAAGCAGCAACGATTGGTGCAGAACATTACATAGAACTGTCAGCTGGAAATTTTACAAAGTATAAATTGCAAGTTGAAAATGAATTGAAGAACATTCCTGGTTTGAAATATACCATTCTTAGGCCTGCTATTGTTTATGGTCCTGGTGATAAGACTGGTTTAGGTACTGAAGTAGTTTATATTTATTTTGAGTACTAAATAAAGAACAAATTAAATATGCTTTTTTCATTTCATTACAGCACCACGGTTAGTGATTGGAGCAGTTTATAAGCATTTAGGAGAAATGATGAAATTGTTATGGGGTCCTGATTTGAAAATGAATACTGTACATGTTAGAGATTTGGCTAGAGCTATATGGCATGTTGCTACAAGGAAAGAAACTATAGGAGAAACATACAATGTTGTGGATGAAGGAAACTCTACTCAGGGCACAATAAGTTCTATAATATCTGAACTTTTTAATATAAATCATGATTACATGGGTGTAACTTTATCTTTTTTAGCAAAGGTAATATACATCATAACAAGTGTCAATGACATTTCTATTTATTAATTCAAGTATATAAAATAATTAGCAGATGGATATGACTACAATTGCTGAAGAGATTAATGATAAACATATGGGACCCTGGGCAGAAGCTTGTAATATTGATGGAATTCAAAATAGTCCTCTTACACCGTACATCGATCAAGAAATACTTTATAATCGTTCTGTTGGTTCAAGTTTGCAGCCAGCAAAATTGTTACAGGATATTCATTTTCAATACAACTATCCTAAATTAACAAAAGAAGCTTTAAAAGAGGTAAGCTACTCACTAGATTCGGGGATTTTTTCCTGTTCTGTTTTGACTAATTTTTTTATTTTCGATAGGTATTGGATGATTATGTTGATATGAAAATATTTCCTCACTCATTAGTTTTATAAGACCAAACTACAAGTTCTGATACTTTTTATCAAAACATAGTCAACAGTGCTGAAACTAAGTACTACACCTTGTGCCTGACGCACTTGCATACGCGTCGCAACGATTTTACCTTAATTATTGATTAGATATTACAGGCCTATCAGTACATGTGATAATGAAATACAGAAATGTATGTACTTAAAATATTTCCAGGATGCTAGTCATAGCTCCAATGAATTGAGAGCGGTAATTGAAATGAAGTTTCAATATTTATCGGCATTTTTAGCAATAAAAGTTTTTGAACTTTGTAAGTTTTAAAAGTGGAAAACAGTAGGCCTCTTTGAATGAAATAATTCCAATTAATTATGAACTTTAAGCATTTGTTAAGTTACTGAATTGTTAGTGAAAGTTATCCCAAAAGATCGACATAATTTTAGAAAGGTTTAAAAAAATATTTACATAAGTTTTTCTCTAAACCGACATTATTGATTTGTTGCTATTACCCATTGGCCACAAGATTTTTGGGAAGCTAAAAAACTAAAGATTTTAGAATATTTTTATTCTTCACAAGATTTCATTTTCTAAAATAATTTTTGGTATATTACAAAATGCAATAAGTGATTGTATATGTTGAGTTTTTTGTTATTATTTTATGATTGAAATTGTTTGAAAGCATAAATAATTTAAAATGTCTGTCTTTGTGTACACATTCAGCAAACACCAAACGAAGAATATAACTTTGTTAACATTAGAATATGTTTGTTTTGTAATAATTTAAGTTTATTCAATTTTATGTATTTTTTTAAAGAAATTTTAAGTGAACATTGGTGGTCAATTTATATTTTGTAATAATAATCGCTCACTTTTTATAGAATTATTATATGCAGGTACATTCCATGATGAATATCAAAGAATTGAAAAAATGACTTGTTCGTTGCTCTTCCACTGCATTTGATGCTCATTCTAAACTAAAAGCTTAAAATACAATATTGTACAATTGAAGTAAATTATGAGATATATAGTCAACTTTATCATTTATACTCAATAGCAATATAAATTAAATTATGAACTGAGTACAAATAATAACATCGTCGTGTGATTTACATCACATTTAGTATTTTAGGGAATGCTGTTATCCATAAATTATAAATATTATATATGTATTATAAATGACGTAACGTCAATTTAGCAGCCTAATTTAATACTCATCAACAAAAACTGCTGACAATAGTTTGAATATCTATGAATTGTTGAGTGCGTCTAATTATGATGAATAAATAAAAAAACTCTTAAACTTTAATTTTGTTTTTTAAAATTATTTAAAATGAATAGGAACTGACTTATTAAATTAACTTGCTGTACAAACCTTTTCGATTGTAATTACTACAATTCCATAGTTCGTACCTTCGTTTTAAAAAAATCTATTTTCATTAGAACTATTTTAAAAGAGATTTCTTGAATGTAATTTTCTTTACTATACAGTATTTTTAAAGTTCCAAAATTTTAGATGATAATTTAATATTGAGATCTGTTCACATCTTGGTAGAAACTGAAAATGTTGGGAGAACAGGAATCGTGAAAATGAAAAACATGCTTTTAAAATATTATAATACAGTTTGAAGTTTAATTCAAATATTTTGTTACAAGATTCTGCGTTTCAAAATCAATAACGATTTTCTATTTCAAAAAATTACTTCTAATTACTTTTTCACAGTTTTTTTTTTAAATAATAATCTATTATAATATTTTTTACTCTCGTACAGTTGTTATCGATAACTATTTTTACACATATGTTTCAAAATATATTTTTTCACCATTTTTATTTTAATTATTGTGCAGTTATAATTTGAGAAAAAAACAGTTTTTAATTTAGAAAAGATATTTTTATGTACAATTCGACAACAATAATGATTTTCAACGGCAATGTACAGACTGTTTAACTTAATTATAACTGAAATTTTTTCAAGAGTACATAGTCAAAAAAATTATGATTCATTCTTATCCATCAATTCATTACATTACGTATAAGTATAAATTTAGTACGAACAAATGATATATTAAGTAATAGAATAAAAATATATAATTAATTTACCCAATATTATGATAAAAAAAGAATCTTAATTTAAAATGATTAAAAATTCATTAAACGATACGATTTTGCCTAGTTCTACACAATAAAATTCATAAATTGTATAATTTACAGTAAGTGAATTGTTTGACAATGTCACTTGTTTATCCATATTTTATTCCCATGCCAAACTCGAAACGTAAGCTTTAAAATTTTTTTATTTTACTCGTGAAGTGAGCACTTCATAAAACTCATACTTATACTGTGTCCATGAATCTTTCATTGGACTAGAAATAATGATAAAATTTAAGCGAAATTGAAATATTGAAAATGCCTTACACAGAAGTATTATTAAATTCACGCGAAATATGCCAAAACCTACATTGTATGAAGAAACATTGCGTAAAATATCATTAATCACAGAGAAAAAAGAGAAGTAAAAAAAATTAAATTGGCAAGATGGTTAGCCATTTTTAAAATAATTAATCACAACTGCAGAAATATTTGTTTATATGCTCGACTAGAGTCATGTGTGTGTATGCCCGCGTGCGTGCGTACATATATCCATCAATTATATATTTGCATAATATATTTATGTAGTTTAGATGGTACGATAAATGTTTACTTTTGATTAACTATGATTTAGAGTCATGATTATTATGATTTAAACATAAAAATGCGTCCGATCAATCTCAAAAATATAGCAAAAATATGTAAAGGTTTATCTGATATTGTTGATCCTGCATATTTTGCATTTGTTGATAAAATTGAAACGGTTCTTTTTCACATTGATCGAACGTTACAAAAATTATTTATGCATGATGAAAAATTCATTGAAGTATGAAAATATGTTGTAACTTCTTAAGAAAATCCCAAAGCCAGGATGAAAATAACAGCTTTTAACAAACATTTTTTTTCGCATTTTCTATCATATACATTTCCAAAATAACGAAAAAAGTTCAACTCTGCTATCGATAAAACACTATGCATTAGACATCTTGAATTATTTTGAAAAAATAATTTCATTTACATTAGCTTCGGAATTTTCTCGAGAATAGTAACTTTGCACTATTCATTGATGAACAGACTTACGCAGGAAAAACTGGAATGACATAGTGTTTAATGTACATAGTTTTAGCATCTCTATAGGTTTGCATCGGTATAGTTAATTTTAGCGACTATCATTAATTAATTAAATGTAAGATACTGAAATATTGTACCAACTATTTATACATAAATGTAAATATAAATGTATATTTATATAAATAGAAATTACACAGATAAAAAATGGGTAACTTTGCAAGTAACAAAATGGAAGTAATAAGTCGTAGATAACTATCGTTTGATTTTTGTTAGGTAATCGATAAGTTTTCATAATATATTCTTTATAATTATTGCTTTATATTACGTTTGACATTAGTTTTTTTTCTTTTTATGCAACATCTTTTGAACGTAATAGTTTATCAGATAATTCGAATCATCGAGCGCAATTCTCTGCACGCTTTGTTTTCGTCAAAAGTTAAATTGCATATTTTTCATCGAGATTTGTTCAGCGTCATGTACAGATTCACTCATTATTTATAAAAAGTACAACAATTACACTCGCACTTGATAGTTCGGTTTCGACAAAATTTTTTCTACATCCATTAATGCTATTTCCGTATATTACGTGAAAAATTTCATTAGAAAATATTATATTTCTTGTAATTTTTCCTCAAAAGTATTTTTGCCGTTTATCATTCTTGGTCTAAATATATAAAAAGCATTTTCATCGTCATCAAAGAAAAAGCGTGTGCCTTCATTAATATAAATTTCGAGCATACAGTTTAGTTTTTCAAAGGCTCATATTTACATTGTTCGAAACTTTACAGCTAAAGAGCTCCCTTTATAAAATGTAGTAGTTGTACAATTCAGGTACACACGATTTCTTCTTATTTTTTGTACCTTCACCCTTCAAGTGCAAGAAAAAATGCAGACACCTATGTAGCGATAGTCGATACAGATTATCAGCAATATTATATAACATTCAAAATTACTCGTGATATCTATTGTTTCTCTCAGGTATGTGTATGAATAACAAATATTAATATTACTAACGGAATGAAAACTCAATGCTTCTTTGTTTAATAAATCTTATAAAATGTGTATAAACAATGTATGCTTGTAAATATAAAACTTTAAATTAATAGTAGTGAACATAAACAATATGTAGTATTCACGATAAAGATCTTCATATTTAGGCAAAATACACTCGGCAACAAAATTATCGCAACAAAAAAATTCATCGAAATTTTGTCGATTTTCAAATGCTTCTATCTTGGGCTAGATTTATCGTATCGACACGCTTTTTTTTTTAATTTCTTGGAAATTTTGTCCTCTTTAAATCCATATAAATTAAGATAAGATTTGAGTTAATGTTGAGTTACCAGTAGTATTTGAGCGTGACCCTAAAAATTACTGAAAAAAAATGACTGTTTGAACGTGTACCAGTACCACAGTGATTTTTTTATCGAATTCTAACATACACCATCGCAAAGTGTTCTTTTTAACGAGTAATTTAAAAAAAAAAAGACTTCTCTACGATTTTTTTAACGCCCTGTAGGCCGATTTGAAGGTACGGTTTATGTACGCAAAATGCCCAGAAAATCGTCTTGATTTCAGGTAAACGGGGGATTTTACGTACTTTAAATGGTATCTTCAAATCGACCTACAGGGCGTTAAAAAAATCGTAGAGAGGTCTTTTTTTTTTTAAATTACTCGTTAAAAAGAGCACTTTGCGATGGTGTATGTTAGATTTCGATAAAAAAATCACTGTGGTACTGGTACACGTTCAAACAGTCATTTTTTTTCAGTAATTTTTAGGGTCACGCTCAAATACTACTGGTAACTCAACATTAACTCAAATCTTATCTTAATTTATATGGATTTAAAAAGGACAAAATTTCCAAGAAATTAAAAAAAAAAGCGTGTCGATACGATAAATCTAGCCCAAGATAGAAGCATTTGAAAATCGACAAAATTTCGATGAATTTTTTTGTTGCGATAATTTTGTTGCCGAGTGTAGAACAAAATATATTCATAAAGACTTTTTAGCTTTTCGACGAGTTATTGGTTGTAAATATATAAAATATTTGCGATATTAGAACTATTTATACATATGTCCTACAGTCATTCATTTCTTTTTCAAAATCATAAGTTAAATATTTCACGTGTTACTATTGGATTGTTTTAATACTGTTGAGGTACAGAGAGAAAAAGCTCATGCATCATATTTATATATAGGTACTTGTGATAAAATATATATGTGTGCCTTTTGAAGCTTCAAGCATTTTCATATAAGTATACCATTCAGTGTGTGAGTGTACAGAGTCTGTGTATATAATAATTATCCTACGAGTTTTGATTTTTATTTTCGGCTGGGTTTTTTATTTAAAACTACACTACTTTTCACAGTATCGTTATTATCTATCAGCGAGATAAAGTTCGCATTACCATTAACAGAGAACTCGAGTGTGCTTGCGAATGAGATTTTGAACAAAAAACGCAGCGTACTAACGTCATCTCACTTGGCATTCTGCGAAATGTTCACATACGTATGTTACATTATCATCGAAACGCGCGTGACTTTTTACTACTCTTGTTTCTATTCTGAATGATAAGCGCGAATGATTGCATCCAAAGGAGAAATGTGATCCAGTAGCACCGCATGTGCTTATGCATTCAGAAAATTTTTTCGTTTTTATTATCTTTTTGACGCGAAGTAAACGAGTCGCTTTAGTTATAAATTTAGTGTATTTTTGTACTTGAAAATTTATCATTTGCTTGAGTTTTTATGTCAAAATCAAGTTAGTTACGATTTGGTCTTTTTCTCGATCACAATTCTACCAAAATTGGTAAACTGGATCAATAAGGAAATGATTAAATTTTGTAATTATCACTTCAAGTATCTTAGTATCGATTTGTACGATAAAAGAAGTTAATAGTTTCACGTTTACATTCGAAATGCGTACCAGTGTATTCATTGTACTGTACATGGTACCGTATCGAGTACTTTTTTTCTCACTGTTTGAAACCCCGCAGTTCAAAATCTTATTTAAATTTATTACATTTTTTATCAATTTTAAAGTTTTAAAAAATATATTTCAAGTTTAAAATATTCAGTACTTTAAAACTTTTATACATAAAAAACATTTTTCAAAAAAGTATTAATTTTATTATAAAACCAAAAGGCTACGCAGGGTTTCAAATAATTGAAAAAATAATGAAAACTCTGACATGACGGTGCTACCAACGTTTGTAGGTATTTTTGTTCATGGAAATTATTATATGTATAGGGTAACTTATGTTCTAATATCAGGTACAGTATTGGGTTTTACATTTATGGTTTTCTCTTTCATTACACATCTCTGTCATGGTAACGTGCACCAGTCTGGTATTATTTACATGGTATTATATAATTATATTATCAACCATAAAAAAAAACAAAGTGTATGGATTATTAACTTCGGTTTTTTAAATGCGAATGTAACAAGTTTGTATCTCACCAGTCGAAGAATAAAAGAAAAAAAAACTAACGATCGAGCTCATACATTCCCATTATGAATATAGTTACGATTACGCCCTGCGTCATCTTAAATAAATATTTATAAATAAAAAAACCTTCCGCAAAGATCATTTGCAGATTAAAATCATTTCAGAGGACAAAATATATCTTTTAAAGTTTTTCGTAATAAACGTAATATTCTCTCCTCAATTAGTGAAACGAAGCATTATGAGCTCGTTTAACAATACCTACAACCCTTTATAAGAACGTTATAGGAAAACTTAGCATTAGATCATTCATCGAAAAACAATGTCAGTGTGTCCTTGTTGCAATGTTCGTTAATAACGATTACTTTTATCATTTTAAATTAAATCTCACTGGTTGTGTTTATCAATGTAATAACAGGGCTGGTGTTGTATCTACAAGACCTATTGAAAATATAGCTTTGTATAAAAAATTTCTGTTGCAGGAGTTATAGCAATAGTCTACGACAGGAATCATCAGTCTGACTCGTTAAAATACACATCAATAATTATATAAGTAGCAAAATGCCTAAAGCGTACGACAAAAACCTAAGAATACAATTTAAAGTAAGCTTTTTCATATATCCAACATTTCTTAGGATTAATTCTATGAGGAATAAAGTACAATTTATCAAAGTTGGTACTCAACTCAAAACGACACGTCTTTGTTATTCAAGGAACTAGATTATCGAGCTCAACCATTAGGTTCAAGCACAGGTGGTCTATGAGTCCTTGCGCAGTTATTGTTTAAACTTTCCACGCTACACTGTGTTATTTGAGTGTCATTTCGATCCATCGAAGTGTTAATGTTGTTTTGCTCGATGATTGATTTTAATTTATACTAAAAAGAAATATTATAATAAGTATTTTAGTTGATTGTAAAAGAAATGATATTTATTGAAATGTTTATACTTTACCTGGGGATTCTCGGTTATATTCAAATCTTTTCTAATTCCATTGATTTCCCAAGGACTCAATAAAGGGACCTTCACACATGGTTCAATTCCTTCAGTGATAGACAGACCCTAGTACATTTTTATAAAAAGTATTAATCATTGTCTCATCAGTATAAATAAGCATTATTAAAAAACAGACAAATTTGTACCTTTGAATCAGAATACATTTCGGCAAGTTCAATTTCATTGGTAGTGATACTGGGCATAGTTGTTTGATCATAAGATGAAGAAGATCTATCAGCACAACAAAGGCTCGTACGTCCAATAATGGTTTGTCTAACGTTTTTCAAAGATTGAGCCGACTCTCTTGACAAACGTCGGTTTTCATATTTTCTACGACAGTAATAAGTACTCAGGCAAATTAATATGCAAGTTGGTAAACTTATACCCAATCCAAATAATACTCCTATAAATCACAAATAAAAGTTTATTAATAATGATTATCTGTATATTCGATTTAAAAATTTGTTATACTAACCAAGTTTTGTTTCATTGGTAAATGTATATACTGGCTTGGCCTCATCGAAAGATTTAGATTCAGATGTTGAAATAACAGTAAATACTTCAATAGGATTGGAAAAACTGCCAAGGCCAGCTCTAGTTGCAGCGCGAATTATCACAGAATATTTTTTACCAAGTAATAAACCCGTTAAATCGACCCTTGTAATATTTCCGTCAATCGTTATGTTATTCCAAGCTGCTTGAGGCAATTTTGGAGAAGAAGTATAAGCTACTTCATAACTTTTTATAACGCCGTTTGGTTCTGATGGTTTTTGCCACGTAACATGAATAGTAGATTTGTTCTTTTGGGACCATTCAATATTTTCTATCTTTCCTGGAACTAACAATATAGAAATTTAATTAAATAATTTTTTTCATGCCCTTAGAAATTTAATTTCGAAAAGTAAAATTTACCATCTTCATTGGTGTAACATGTAACTCTTTCGCTGAAGTTATTTTTTTCAGTGTCATTACTTATTACTCGCACTTTAAATTCATACAAATGGTAGGGTTTCAAATTTTTCACTACGATATGCGAGGTATTGCTCCTAAAAAATAAAATTACGAATATTTAATAATAAATAAAGTTTTAAATGTATTGACTTCGTACAAAAATTATGCTCACAGTGAAAGGCAGGTTACAGTTTGATTTTCAAGATTTATAGCATGGTAACATAATTCATAACTTTCGATAACATTGAGTTTTGCGGGTAACCAGCTTAAACTTATCGAAGTGGAAGATACAGAAATAGCTTCTAATAATTTTGGTATGTTATTTTCTAAAAAAGTATCAGTGATTAAACTAAATTCTATTAAAATGTTTGACTAATCGAAAGAAGCTCACCTGAAGTTTCACTTAAATCTGCACGTTTCGTAATACACTGAACAATTTCATTTTTATATATAGCACACAATTTGAAGTCGTACGGAACGTGAAATTCTAAAAAAATATTTTCATTTTCGTATTTATTTTTGTTGCCTTTTGAATTTTATCGAAATAGACTAAAAATGTGTAAAAAAGTAACTACTCACTCAAATTCGTAAAGATATACTCAGAAACATTTTTAGGCAATTCAATGGAGCTACTTAAAGATCGATCTTGGCTTTCAATATGAATTTTCCACGATGTGTATTCCAATATTGGATCTTTCACGCTCCATAAAAGCTTAAATTCAAATTAATACATGAAGTACATAGTTATAAATAATTCATACTGAGTCTGAAAAAAGTTACCTTTAAAGATTGCGATTCAACCATTGAAATCTGGGCTTGTATTAAATCTTGCGAAGTTGGAATTGTTATAGTTAGCCATCCAATTGGTGATTCGCTAAAGCTAGACCAACCTGCTCGAGTTCGAGCAAGAACGCGGAAATCATATTGCTCTCCAGGAATCAAATTTGTCAATAGTTTTGAATCAACATTGGAAGGTAAAATCAGTGAGTTGACAGAATGTCGTTTTGATTGTTTCCATTCGAGTTTGTACTGTGTCACAATTCCTTGGGCTTCTTTTTTAGTAAGTGGTTTCCATGTGACGTACACTTTAGTGCTACTTATGACACGCACATGAGTCTTTGGAACAATTTTTGGAACGCTCTCTTCGGTAGAGCAAGTAATGGTTGAAGATTGATCACTGGCGCCGTGGTTGTTCCACAAGCGCACGTAAAAAGTATAATTCGTAAAAGGCTCCAAATGTTTCGATACTTCAACCGACGTCGAATTTCCCGGTTCGGGAGGAGTGACTTCTTCTTTGCCACCATCCAGTGGCCTGTAGTGAACGGTGTAGGCAGTGATATCAGTGAACGGTAGTAACTTTGGTCGCTCCCATGATATGTACATTTTGGTGGGCGATCGGGCCTCGCATTTTAATGACGTTGGCGCGTCAGGACTGTTGCGCGACGAATTGACTTGTAACCGACCCGCGGCTGAAGCTTCACCGGCCGCATTAACGGCTACGCACTGATAGATACCCGAGTCCGAAGGAACTGTGGCCGAAACTGCTAATTCTACTTTGTTCGAATCTTTTTTGTACATGGTCGTTCGTCCTGAAAAATTGAAGATCATCATCATTCTTATTGTACCACATAACAAAATTTCAATGATAAGATAAATTGCAGTATTAAAAATGGTTTCTCACCATTGAACGTGACATTTTGCGCATTTCTAAGCCAATAGATGTGCGGCGTAGGATATCCATGAGCTTGACACTCGAATCTGGCGGTTCTGCCATTTGGATGAACCAAATCTGCGGGCTTTTTGATTATCGTCGGTGGTACCAGCACGTCCACGGTAACATTCTGCAGGCACGAAACAATCGGGAGTCTTATTGTTGCTCCGAAACATTTCATACTTAATACTTTAGAGGAGTAAGAAGCGATAAACAAACCTGAGATTCAGTCGTGTCGTTATCCTGATTAACCATTGAACAAACATAAACACCGGAGCTGGCAGTGGTAATTTTGCTGAGTTTTAAAATAGCTAAACCCGAGCTTGAACTCGATAGCTTGAGTCTCTTAATGTTTCCTTTATCTGTGAAACGTAATGATACCAGTGAGCACACATATACATACACACACATAAAGTTTATACGCTATTATTTCAAGACAAACATCTGATATTTCACATCCTCGTAGCTAATTTTTTCCCACCCGAGAATCCAGAAAGATATAATCAAGATCATCGTCCTCTTTATCGGGACCGCGCGAAAAAAGAGCTGCGCCTCTTGCGCTCGCGCGATACGAATTTGCAAAATGCGCTCCATAAAATAATTTAACAAAAAAACTTACCTGTTCTCAGGAGTGTCCAAGTGGTCGCCGGAGTCGGATAACCGGAAGCTGCGCAAACGAGGGTCAGATCGCTGCCGTTGAGAACGGCGTGCTCGTAAGCCGATTGCGGATAGAGCGCCGGGGCTCGGGGCTCCGGCCGCTCGAGCACGGTGAGTCGCGCGTCCGGACTGTCGCGCTGCTCCTTGGAGTGCTCGTTGCTGGCCGAGCAGCGGTACGCGCCGGCGTCGGATGGCTCGACCGAGCTCACGAACAGGACACCCCGCGACGCCGAGAAAGCGTATCTGTGTGTGCGGCAGCAAAATATAAATCCATGATATATAATTAGATTTTTTATCGCTTGAATGTATATATTTTTTTTATGCGAGTCTTTCGAACGAGAGACACAAAATGACGGGGGCATAACGATAATCGGGTCTTACTTATTATCCGGATGATCCTGAGAAATGATCTGGCCGTCGTGGAGCCACGTCACATTGGGAGGAAACGGCACGCTGTCGATCGAGCAGGATAATCTAGCCACTTCGCCTTGGCTAACTGTTGAGTCTTTTGGAGATTCTTTGAATGCGTGCGAGAGTTCTGCGTAGAGAGAGAGAGAGAGAGAAGGAACATGTACTTTAATAAACATATTCTTTCGATATAAAACGAGCCTCGATCATAAATACATCCGTATCAGGAGTCCACTTACGAGCAAAGTAAACAGTTATAGGCGGGGATTGCATAAACTCGCCGAAAGACGTGTGCGCGACGCATCGAAATATCGCCTTGTCGGTCGCAGCTGCTTCTTCGTTGGACAGCGACGCGCTCGGCCGATCCTTTTTCTGTAATGAAATTAAAAACGTATTGTATTCGTTACATAATTCATCTGGGCAGGCACAAAAGGCGAGAGCTAATCACATAATATTTTATCGCTGTACGTATACATGAGCGTTGCGCGAGCGAAATCTTTATCTCGAGCCTCTCCCGAGCGTGGCGTGAAAAAAAAGAAGAAATTACTCTCTCTACGCTTGTATGGAAGCCGAAAAACAAAAGCGCCATTGATTCTTTATCATTCTGCTTTGTACATTTAAAAATGATATTCTCCCGCGGGAGATCCCACAGTGGGCACGATTTTACGCGGAATCACATGATTAAACTCTCGTTAAACGATTAGAGCGTACGCGTTATGGTTTCGCGATATTATGTAAGTATTTAGCGCCTATACATGTAAATTAGCGCTCTAAAAAAGAGACAGCCACGAGGTTTGGCTTCGGCTTCTATTCCGACGCGAGCACGAGGCATTATTAAAATTAAAGTATTTCAGCTTGTACGCATAAATAAGAGGAAAACGACGGCACCGCCATAAATCAATACTTGGCAAGTTATCAGGCAAAATAATATTTGAAAAGAGGAGATGCTCAAATTATATAAATGCATAAATAACGAGCGGACCCGCAATGAAAATGGCTGTAGATGCTCGAGATAATGAGTATATAATGTGCCTCGCTAACGCTTGAGCACGTAAAAAGCCAAACGATTCACACAACCCTCGAATGATCGTACCTACATGATATAGGTACATGGCTCCATGCACAATCAAAACATACGCACACGATGTGCGCATCAAGTTGAAGAGCCGCTGCTGCTGCTACTGTTACACACGGGTCATCGACCTTTACCTCCAAAATCTCTTTCGCACCCCTCTCGCGAGGCGCAATGTACGTGTGTGTGTATGCGTGTGCAATTGTGTGCAGGCTTAACCCCCTTGCTCCCCTTCCTTTATCTAATGCACACGCACACACACACACACACACACACACACACACACACACACACACACACGCGGATGTGAGTTCACGCACTCTGCCCATATGTATGTACGTGAATATGTGTATGTATAATAATGCGCACCTTGTGTACACGTAACGAGCCACCGTGCACTATTGTGCAACGAGCCGTTGGATATTGATGGCAAAGAGACGACTCCTCCGTTGTTGCGTTGTTGCTACTCGTGCCTCCGCTGTTGCTGCTGCTACTGTAGCCGCCAGCATTGGCATCGTCCTCGGTTATCCATCGTACGTCGTGCAGATCGACGGCAGCACCGGCTTGGCAGGTCAGGGTGACGCTGCGCCGAGCGCCCGGGCCTAGAATTATCGGGCCTCGTGGTCGGACCTCAAGGTCGAGGCCGAGACGACCGGCTGTCGAGACGGTTCCTCGACTCGTTCTCGAGCTCGATGATGATAATGATAAGGAAGATGCGCCGAGCAGTTGCGGATGGCCATAAATTCCTGAAAAAAATCAAAAGAAAAACTTTAATACCCGGAAATTTGTAGTTGATATTTAGAGTTCATAAATGTCAGCAACTATCAAACTAATTCAACTATCATGCTCTATTTATGTGTCGATTAAAAATTACTTAAGATAATAGAAAATGATAGAGCTATACGATTTCAGAGTACGCTCGTGAAAATTAAGAAAAAGAAGTCTTTAAAATTCACCTCGAACCGAGAGCGCGAATAATGAAAATAAAGAATTCGAGGCGCATAAACAGAGCGGGGATCGTCATCGCGCTTTCAAAGCACATCGTGATTTTTTTATCATGCAACGGCGGCACACGAGGGTGTGCGCGCATACGCACCGCGAGCCTGCACACTGCATCCGTACGTACGCGCGCGCGCCTGGCTATACTACTTGCACGCAGCGATGCGTTCTTGGGATAACGAGCTCGTCGTGAAAATCCAGCGGTATATACACAGAGGGCTTTTATTGTCGAAGGTGACGAAACTCGCGCTTCGGGGCTTGTATATATCTATGATATACATCAAGTACGTGCACGCGTATCGTGTGATATACTGTACTCGTTGCGTCGAGTGTGCTCATATTTAAAATATTATAATCGATGATTTTCGAGGGTAATTCGAGCACCGAGTGTAATTGAACTCGCGAAACGTACGCGCGACAAGATCGCCGATGATTTAGGATCGAACATCAACTTATTCTCATTATGAGTACGAGTCGAGAGATCGCGGCTTATAAGAGGCAAGCGCGCGATGAACGATCGCGAATTAATATAACTGTAAAAGGGGGAAAAAATGGCTAGCGCGAAACTCGAACGATCTATCAAAATTGAAAATTAGATATAGGCATTATTCGCGCTCATCGATTAAAAGATGATTTTCAACCTGAACTGCCGGCAATAAGCATATAAAGAGCTCAGGAAGAGAAAAAGCTGAGTTGGAGAACAAGTGCTGTAGAACACGGCATAACGGTAAATAACGTGTATATGTGTGAGTCTGTGCTGGTTTGCGTGCGAGCGAACGATGTTATTTGCGTAATTTGCGCGTGACTTTGGACTCGCTGGCTTCTCTCTCTCTCTCTCTCTCTCTCTCTTCTCTCATTCTTCATTGGCGCATATAACCTAATACCCGTGTATAGCAGCACACGCGGAGAGAGAACTCACGATATATTATATATTATATATAGTGTAATAGCAAGTAAAGTGTGTGAGGAGTCGCATTGGCGCACGATATCGGCACACGGTGGGCTCCTTTTCTCTCTCTCTCTCTCTCTCACTCCGTATTTTCTATATATATATTCTCTACCTGCGCTATGCTACGATGGAGGCACGCAATAAACATAGAGAATAGCACGCAGCGAAGCATTTGGCGAAAGTTTCCGTTGTTTCACGGTATACTTACTCTCCTCCATCTCTCTCTTTCTCTCTTGTTGCCTACTGTACAGTACTACACGTAATATGTATAAATAAACGCGCACGCACACGGACATACACACGCTTGGCGCGTTCGACTTGGAGTGCGGCGTTTACATTACTTACTCCAGTAGTCTCTTATTACTTATAATAATAAGATATATAAGATATTACATGAGGTACAAACCGCGAGCGCGCACAGGCATGGAAGAGCGAGCGGCGACTCCTTCGTTCATTACGTTTCGATGAGAGAGGCATATCGCGGATAATTTGATAATAATTGCGATCGCGCGGATAAAAAGACCCTCGGAGTATAACTTTGTACGAAAATGAGTAAAGAAAAAAAAGTCTCGTTTTCGAGCTTTTTGTGTCCAACTGTGGGTAACACACGCATATTCGCACAGTTGCTCTTTTTTGCAGCGCACAAAATGTTGTTCGCGCGCACCGAGCTCTCGCGATAATTATTCGCATTAAAGCTTGCGCAAAGCTATATAGCGAGGGGTGTAGCTTCGACGAAGATGAAAAGTACGCATCATCATATTGACGTTGACTATGTTGAATAGGCGTACATGTACCTGCAGCTCGGGTAAAGTCTCATACACGCAGTGAAATCGAGCGCTGCCGCTGCCGCTGCTCGCGCACACGAGGGAGGAAAAAGCGCTGCTGCACGAGTACATAGAAAGAGAGAGAGAAAAATCCTCTTTGCGCGCGATATATATACTACACATACACGGGGTTTTTGCCCTCTTCTCTCTCTCTAGCTAAAAGGGGTGTGGTGTGTGCCGCAAGAAATATCTACTCCCACGTGACGATCGATCGGCCCAAGAGAGAGAGAGCCTAACGCGCGTACAGCATAGGCGCAACGACGCAACTCGAGCCTCGAGAATAACAACAACAATAGTAATCACATCAGGCTTTCTCGCTCTCTCTCCCTCTCCTACATAATCCCGTAGCTGCGCAGGTGGAAAATTTGAGCCTGAACAGCTACAGCTACAGAAAAAAAGCCAGAGTCGATTGATCTATGATAAAATGATAACTCGCTTCGTATATATATAAAGGACGCGCGGCATGTGCGGGAGTTGTAACGGCGGCGGCGGCGGCGGCTCGTCTTATCTATATAATACGGCGCGCGAGAGTATATTATTATATGCTCAAGAGCACCTAACAGCGCGCGACAAAGTGTGTGCGCGCGTGCTGCTGCTGCGTGGGTGTTGGTGTGCTTGCGCGCGCGGAAAAGTGGAAAAGACCGTCGAGCTTGCGCGCAATATATACACACTTACACGAGCGAACGAACGCGATATATATAGGTATGTGCTCAGGTTGTACTCGCTCTCGCGCGCACAGCCGGTAAACGCCGCGCTCTTGGCAGCTAGCAGGGTTGGGGTCAAGGTTAGACACTGAACTTGGATATTATGTACTTGGAGGGTTCGCGTGTGGCGTATACATATAATGTAATATATATAATACTCGCGGAGTGTACACGTATACCTGTGAGCTTAGAAGATGAAGGCAGCAGCAGCAAAAAAAAAAAAAATATTTGTACGCTTTCGAACGTGCGAAACGAGCTCAGATACTTAACGCGGCTGCTCCGGCTTCAACGGCGTGCACTGTGCGCTACGTGCAGCCCTGAGCATATTAGCACCCACGCGCGCGCGCGCAAGCTCGAGACTTAACGAGATCAAATGAAAGAAAAAACAAACGAAAAAAAAAAGTCTTGGCGAATGAAAAGAGCAAAATATTTTTGAGCTGCTGCTGCTCGATAGCTGCTTCGAAAGAGATACGGCGGGGCAAGAACTTTTTGGCCTACGATGCGTGTATGGTTAGTCCTAAATTATGGAATCGCGCGCGTTTGAGAATTCTAAAATTATATACGTTCACTTTCTGCCCCTTTTTTCGCTTCGTTCGATCGACTCGCTCAATGCTACAAGTTGTTTCATTTTCTTCTTCTCCGTAATCGCCTTATGATACACCGCGCGCACTCGATCGGACGCGATATATAATATCTCACCGAGCCCGATATACAAATTAGGCACTCGCTCGATGAGCAGCACGTGGTGAATCGTATATACATACAGCTCGCACACGCTCGAGCGTATATATTATGGAAAAAATTCGACTTCCACCGACGGAGCATATAACCGTGGCATAATAAGCTATACGGCTCTCGCAATACACGGGATATATTATAAAAACTTGCGCGATTTTTGGCAACCTCGCATACATATTAATTCGCGCATCGGAATCCGTTACACGCGAGCGGCTAAGCAGCACATCGCGTATGCGTGCGAATGGAAGAAACAACGTCTAAACAACAACTTGGCAAATTAATATGTGTATATATCGTTTCTTTGGCTATACGTTTGCCCCCCTCCGTATATTTTATACGATATGCGTGAGTCTCTTCTTCGACTCGCTCCGCTATTACTTATATCTATTTACGAAAGTTCGTCGCGCGCGTGTAAGCGTTATATTCGCGCGCGAATTATTATTATGTTATGTTTACTACTACGCGGAGTGGAAAAAAAACCTCTCGTCGCGCGTTGGGGAATTATATTCTTATAATGTGTATACGCGCGCGGGCGCGGATATCAATCGATAGAGTATAGCCTCGGAACGACCTTGCGCGAATACGACACGTCGTATCTCGAAATGCGTGCGTATGATAGGAAATTTTGTCGTTCAATTTGCGCCGCAATGTCCTGCGACACGACTCCGACTTGTAATGCCTGTATACGAGTCTCGAAAAAGCTTAAAGCCCTGCGCACATATTTTTTCACGCAGCAGCAGCAGCAGCAGCGAAGATGTGTATCGCTTCTCGGGCAATGCATCATTTTTACATTTATAATCTAGAGAGACCGACGACCACGCTCGACGACGTCAACAACGACGACGAGTCCATGCAATCGACGAAATTCCATTAGGATTTCGAGAGAAAGAGACAAAGAGCGAAGGAAGGAGGGAGGCAGCAGATAGGTTGTTGACCCTTATCTATATCGCGTATAAACACACACTTACATGGTACGAGCCTGTACAATACATGTAAGCTACATACATGCGCTACATCGAATCGATCCATAGCGAAGGATATACATCTACGCGCGCGAGGACATTCATATTATAAATATATATCGCCGGGCAGCACAACACGAGATCGTCCACTCGGAGATGAGACAAGTCGAGATAAAAACTTTCCTCGACTGCTGAAACATAGCGCACGATGTATTAAAGCTGCACAGCACAGCACGGCACAACGACGAATTCTAATGCTCTTTGCCGCGCTTATACGCCGCGCACAGTCATCAGTTTTTCGTTGAATTCTGATGTATGGACCTCCACTACAATACCTTATTGCGGCTCGAATGCCATAGGGCACAAAAATCGACGAAACGTACTTTTCAATATAATATATTTTCAATCGCCCTCTGTTACGGCGTTTTTCTGGAGCTGCTACATTTCGCGCGTGTGTGCACGAGTTCTATGGGCGCAATTATACACGTAGAGTATAAGATTTGTTCATGTTTGTGTGCGTATGTGTGCAGCGCTACTACTACCAGAGGTCTTTTTCGGAGCTCCAAGGTT